TCAGGTCCCTTCTGACCCTAGAAACTATGAAACTAAGTAATATCTTTGTGGTTATTTGTGATTTTATGGCACCACAAATTCTATGAACATGTAGCCAATTGCTATTTTGGGTATGATTATTACCCACCTTAATTGTGCCAGAAACATAATGTGTGCTGGAGCCTCGGTTTTGGCTCCTGCAAAATGGGGACAGTAATACTTACACGATCATTATCAGAGTTAATTATTATCTTTAAAAAATGTCTTGAATACAGAGGGAACTACTTAAATGCAATACATTAAGTAAACCACCATCCATCAGTGAGAGAACAGCTTGCTTAAGGTACTTTTCTCATATTTATTCTTGCATTTACTACTTATGTAATGAGCTCTGTTCTATTCAAGTTCCTGATAACATGATTCATTATTAGGCTCTCCTGTATTTTTACCCCTTGGCTTTCTGAAGAAGGGAGAGTAATGCAGTCATAAAAATTGGCCACAGGTATTTCTGAAATGCATCTCTTGCAAAGGAAAGTAGAGGAACTAGGAGTGAAAAAAGAGGTGAGAAAATCAAGTGGTGTAATAAAAGGAAAAAGGAACAATTAAATAGGACTCAAACTGATACATAGCCAGCACTGGTGTACATTTAAAATGTTAACTGGTCTATTTGGCATTTCAAGGAATAGCCTGATACCAGTAAAGTAAAACTCATTTTGCTTCCATCTGGAAAATAACATACAGATTGCCATGGCTAAACCCCCCCAAGGACTTACTTTTATTGTCTTCCTGCTTTGAAACACTCTATCTTGAAATCAGAGGTGGTCTCAGAAAGAGAAGCCTGTAGAGTCTAGCAACCAGCAAAATAGGGTTTGCGTGGAAAGTTTAATTTCAATGTGAGCGTTTTATATTTATACAGGTCATTTGTTTTCTCATAGGATGCTGTGTGGGAAGATGGAGAATTTTTCTTACAATTGACAGAATTATTAATCAAAAAAATCAGTTTAATCAGAGAAAGAAGCAACCTGCAAAGTCTGAGACGATAGGCATACAAAATAGCAGCGTGAAACTGAAGGTAAGGACTTAACATAAATCAGCAAGGACCTGGGAAATGGGTACGAAGTCTCTAACTGTGACCTGTTCTACTGAGAGACTGCAGGGACATCGAGTTCTGTGTCTGACAATCAGAGTTAACCACGGGTCCTAAGCAGAAGGCTGGATCTGACTACATTTCCAAGCTTCAGGGAGGGTTCAGATCCAGAATTACACCACAGCGTCTAGGAAACCAACTCTGAAGTGAACTGAACTGTTAATTATGGGGAAGTCAGGGTCTGGATCAGAGTCCCTGATGTCAACTTTATAACCTGGGCTGCAATTATAAGCATGTCTTTTGCTTACAGTTCATGCTGCAGTTGTGTGGAAGGAATCCAGCTCAGGTCAGGGCCCTGTTCTGTTGGATGCTGCACAAAACTACCGTAAGGGATGCTCCTGGCACCAAAGAAATTATCATCTAAATAGAGTACACAGCATGAGGGTTTGTACACCCCTTGTTACTGCTGTGACTGTTACTGTTACTGTTACAGTTGTGGGCCCCACGCTTCAAGAAAAATGTGGACAGATTAGAAAAAAATCCAGCAGAGAGCAACAAAAATGATTAGGCACCTGGGAAGCATGACTTATGAGGAAAGGTTGAAAGAGCTAGAGTTATTAGACTGGAGAAGAGAAGACAGAGGGGGAATTTGATAACAGTCTTCAAATACCTGAAAGTTATAGAGAGGATGGAGAGCCCACCAGGCTGCGACCTGGTACCAGGCTGCGGCAGGTTGGCTGCCGAGTCGTGGCATGAGCCCCCTGGCTCGGACCCTCGTTTGTCCGCCTGGGCAAGTGGCTTCTGGGGTCACAGCTGAGCTTCTGGGGTTAAAGCTGGGTGGCACGGGAGCCCTAGGAGGGAAGCACCTGGCTCTGTGTGCCCTGTCTTGCTCCCGCTGGGCTGCGGTAAAAAAAGTTTGGGAACCACTGCTGTAGGGGACAGGACTAGGAGCAATGGCCTTGTGCTCCAGCAGAGGAAATGTAGGCTGGAAACTAAGAGGAACTTTCTGACGATGACAGTAGTCAAGCATTGGAAATTGTGGAATCTCCATCTCTAGAAATTTTCAAGATCATGTTGGACAGACACTTGGCTGGGATGGTTTGGTCAGGACTGATCCTGCCTTGAACAGGGGCTGGACTAGATGACATTATGAGATCCCTTCCAGCTCTGCTTTCCTATGATGCTAAGATTCTCTCTTCGTTTGTTTAATGCAGGGATGCCCAGCACATGGCCCATGGCCCCTGCAGCCCAGATACTTGGTGAGTCAAATGAAGCAAGACCCCCGCAGTGGCCCTAGGTCCCTGCAAGCCTCACCTCCAACCACTGCTCACATGACTGAGGCTCTAGTGCTGCAGTCCCACATTGTGTTCACACAGCAAGTCACAGCCACCATCATCACTAGGTGAAGTAGCTAGGTGACTGATTAACTTGATGGCCTCCCTATTGCACAGGGGCTGTCACACATGGTCCCTGTGCAGTAGGGCAGGTGACCCCAGGGACATGGCAAGGACTGGGTACGTGGAGTGATTGTTGTGGGAAATGCCCATCTATCTGCAAAACCCCCTGATGAGGCATCTCCACCTGGGAGGAACCTGGGACAGCCATGTCAGTGCTGCATGCGTGGCCCATCTGTCCTGCACAGAAAAATCACATGTGGACATGCAGTAGTGCAGGACTGCACTTGCAGGATATAGCGAATCCCGTCACCTCCCTGCAGGGCCTGGCCTCCCAGAGCTCAGACATGGTGGGATGAGGCCAGGTCAATAGAGTTAATGCCCTCATATGCATAAAGGCAGACAAGGTTCTTTGGGTGAATCTGGTATCTTTCATTAGACCAATTTAAACTTAAATTGGTCTAATAAAAGATATCAGATTCACCCAAAGAACCTTGTCTGACTATGTCCTTAGATCAACACAGCTACAACCTGCCCCCTCATATGCACAAGTGTTATGTCATCTTTAACCACCACAGACAGGCAGGGTTTGATTTTACCTCCCAGCTGAAGGAGAGCCCTTACAACATGAGCAGGGATTGTCTGAATCAAATCAGTTTCTAGAATTATTTGGTACTCAACACTGTGTGCTGAAATACAGTGAGTTCATTATGGTTTAGATCCAAACAGCCAGACTGGTTTTGGCTAAACTTTCATGCATTCATAAAAGCCAGTTAGAAACACATAGCTGTTGATATATATTGTAGCTGTTACAACTATAGTATCTGATCCAGGAAGTTCTGTGATCCAGGGAGGTTTCATTTGATGGTACAAATGGAAAAATACAGTATTAGAAACTTACAGCCATGAGATCTTGGGGAACACCAACCTGATGCATTCTTAATGTATCAGACTATGATGGGAGTCTGTGTATTCAAAAAATAATATTGTTAATTAGCTGGCAAAAATTCTACTGCTTGCAGAGGAAGCATGAATGCTAGCTATCCTGACACAAGGCATGCTTGCATACAGACTGCTGGCCTTTAAATTCTCTGCGTTGGCTCTTTACTTCTTCATTTTTCAATATCCACAGCACTTAGTCTCCAAAGCAACTGGAACATTTTCACATTTGAATTCATTTAGGTTGTACAAGAGCTTCCTCCATGAGCTGTGTTGATTAGGGCTGCTGAACTGACGGTCTTGAAAAACGATGTCTTCTGTGCATTCAGAGAACAGGTATGGCAGGGGCAGCATAAATTCCCCACAGGGCCTTGCCCATGAGCTACAACTCGTTTTTGCAGTAGAAACATTAGGACATTTTAGTTTCCCGCCAACGGTAATTTCTGAGGGGACCACCCCCTTCCCAAATCTAGCATGGTGTACAGGGGGCTGCTTTCCAGCTCCACTGCTTTCTCCTGTGGAACAGCAACCCTCTTCCTGTAGAGGCTTCCAGGGAAGTGACAGCGTTCTGACATTTCATCTCCCCAGACAATTGTACCTGATATCTGCTGTATTAAGCTTTGCCATTTAGTCTACACAGGATCAGGTCCAGTCTTTGTTGATGAGTCACTGTAATACAAGAAGAGTGAACTTGCTCTGGATCCCATTCAATAACAGGCTGAGACTGTATCTAATAGAAGAAAATGCTGCCACAGGTATAAATTGCACACCTTTAGTTATGACATCTCACTCTTCCCTGGAACCTACATAGAAAATCCTCAAACAATTGCAACCTGTGCTAGAAGACAACCCAATTCTTACAGAGATCTTTCCAAAATCACCCATCTTAGCCTTTAAACAAGAACTGAACCTCACCAACCTCATCACCAGAAGCAAACTCCCTGGCTAGGGCCAGACATTACACATAAACCGGTTTAAGTGATCAAAAACTGGTTTAAATCTGAAACAGAACAGATATTCACATAAACACATAAACCAGTTTGAAAATGGCTGAAACTAGTTTGAGATAAACCTGGTTGAATGTAGTACCAGCTAGCTGGTAATATCCCTCTGTTGTTTTTTCAATGGGGTGATAAACACTGAGTTAGGGGTCATAAATACTGTTATCAATTCCCTGCTTGGCTAATCAGAGCATCCTGCCAGGGTCTGGCCATGCTCACTCTCACCTCAGTGCTGTGGAAGGGGCAGAAGAGCTGCCCTAGCACCCCCAGCTTCTAGCCTGAGCCACTGCAGGCATGTGCCAGCATATCTGGGATGTCCGTGCAGTTACAAACCGGTTCAGCCTAGCCAGGTTAGACTAACCTGCAAAGATTGAATTAATTCAGGCTAAGCCTTTTTGAATGTCTGTCCCTAGGCCCTATGATCCAGCCCACACCTAATGGATCCAGACTGTGCCAGGACAAGAAATGTAAAACTTGCCAACACATCTCCACCACTCCCACAATAACCACATCCCACAACAGAACCATCACCATTCCTGGATCCTACACCTTCACTTCCAGAAATGTAATATATGATCAGAGATTTGGCTGATCAATTTTATGGCAATATCTCATTCAGTGCACCAAATGCCCTGGTGGAAAAGATGTAGGAGAAACCAAACAACAGCTGCACACCAGAATGAATGGCCACTGAAAAGCCATCAAAGACAAAAATATCCAATTACCTGTGGATGCCCACTTCTCACAAGACAATCACCCCCTCTCTGATCTCTCAGTTCTAAGCCTCAAAGGGAACGTACAAAACACCTTTCATAGACGGGCCTATGAACTTCACATCATCAACCTACTGGATACTAAAAATCATGCACTTAATATAGACAGTGGATTTATGACACATTACAACCTGCCTGACATCTGATTCACCAGGTACCTGCCTGACCTTACCATTTACACTTTTCTTCCCCCAGCACCTTTGTCTCCTCCTCTCCTTTCCTATCTTTTGTTTTCCTGATGTCCAGCTATTTACTTTTTCAGACTGCCTCTTTTCTACCTTTGAGAACTCAACTACAGTAGAGTCTCCCTTTGGCATTATTTCCCCCTTCTTTCCTCCCCTCCCTTCCCTACCCTTTGTTTTCCTAATTTTCACCTATTTACATTCTCACTCATATCCTGTCACAATTTTAGCTTCCTTCATTCCTTGAAGATCTCAAAACAGTAGAGTCTCCCTATATCTGAAGATGAGTGATTGCACCCGAAAGCTTGCAAATAACTTTTTTGCAGCTACTCAGCTGGTCTAATAAAAGATATCACATCTACCCAAAGAAGCTTGCCTGCTTATGTCCTTAGACCAACATGACTACAACCAAAAACCCTACAGCTATAAAGACACATTCAGATCTGTAAATCAATCTAATGAAAATTGCAGCAAGCAATTATGATGAGATTGTCAATAAGAGAAATAGATTTACTTTTGAATCATTCAAAGTTAAGGCAAAGTGACTGTGAAGATCCCACAATGCATCCATGATGAAAAACACATTTCTTAAATTTTGTTTTGATCTGTGTTTCCCCCTGTCTTCAGCTTCCAGAGACAACTGGACTGTTCAAGATGCAGGAGCTCAAAACAGCCTGACAAATAGAAAACTTTCATGAGGCAAAAAACTTCCAAGAGAGATGATTTGTGAGTCTGTGACTTCTCTGTGCTAGAATTGAAACTGTGTAAACAAGTACATGTTCAAATGTTGTTCTTGCCCATCAGGTGATAACCCACCATTCCTGGCTAGCATAGTCTAAAGCAATTCATGTTCCTAGCTCTGTCTTTTGGCCTTTTATCCTGCTTGCACTTAGGATTGGATATTATGGGCCTTATGTTGTACCAGACCTGCACAGGATGTGTCATAGAGTTTCATAGTTGGTAGGGGTCAGAAGGGACCTCAATAGATCATCAAGTCCAACCCCTTGCCCTGGGCAGGAAAGAGCACTGGAATCATATGACCCCAGTCAGGTGCTTGTCCAGTCTAAAAAATAAAGGTGTTGACCCCAGTGTGATTTGAACATACAACCTTCTGATCTGGAATCAGACATGCTACCATTGCACCACAGGGTCACAGCTGGTGCATGTTTATGTCAGAATGGGCATTTTTCATCCAACTTTGCTTATTCTTTGCACAGCTGGAAATGACTGTATAAGGCTAATTGCAGACAGTCAAAAAGCCCAAGGCTGAATCGATTCAGTCTGTGCAGGTTAGTCTAAGCTACAAAGATCAAACTGAGAAACAAATGGATGTACATTTACCTTTGATTCAGGAAATGCAGCCATATGCCTGCAGTGGCTCAGGACAGAAACTGGGAGGCGCTAGAGCATGGCTCTCTGATACTTCCTCTTCTTGTTGTGACCAAGGTCTCTGGGATTTGCAGTCCAGGATCACAGTATCAGGACTCTGCAGGGTTGCTGGGATGCTAGGGGGCCTCTAATTTAACTTGAATCAGGAAGGGGTCTGGGGAAAGAAATTTCATAAACCAATTTGACCCAAATCAGTTAAGTCTGATCCTGCATTCAACCAGGTTTATCTTAAACAAGTTTCAGCCATTTTGAAACTGGTTTATATGCACTGCACTTCTGTTCTGTTACAGGTTTAAACCAATTTCTGATGATTTAAACCAGTTTATGTATAACTTTTGTCAAGAGGCCAGGCAGTGGAGACCTGGGCAGTATGGATGCACGTCTCAGAACACCTCAGCATGTGCAAACAGGCGCCATCTTCAAGAGAATTCGGTACTCGGAGGCACATGATATTACGAGTTTTTGTGTTAAAAAAAGCTATCATAACAGGAACTGCTGTGTTCTGAGCCACAATTGTGGGTGCCAAGCACTTAAATATCTGTCCTTGAGCACTAGAAATTCTGACCCCAAATCTAAATGTCAGATCTTGGGAAGTAAAGAAAGGAAATCAGTGGGACTGAGAATAAGCCAAGCTGTTCACAGAGGAGGTGGGGACAAGTTGCTCACTGCATGTGGATGGTACATTCAGTACAAGCAAAGGTACCAAGTGGCTCAGCGATGCCCCCCTTGGAACATCGTGTTCATGGCTTAACCACCCATAGTCACTGCTGGAGGGAAGGCCCCCCTGCTTGTAAAGTAACCTGAACAAGCACCTGGTCTTTGTTCAAATAATAGGCTATGCCAAAAGATTTTTAAAGCTACTTTTAATAATAATTCTTTTCCCTGTTGAAGCTGATTTTCTCCCACTGACTTCACTGGCTTTCTTACTGTTTCAGGATGATTCATGTAATCCTACACATCTCTCTATATGCTGTACGTAGCTGTGCAAAGTGGACTTGATTGATGTCCCCTACAAGGAAAAGAGGATAATTTATGCTTTTTAATTATAGGTTGCCTGCATTATGGTATAGTTATTCAACTCACCATCATTAACAATATAATATTAGTCTTAACTAAATTGCTGCCTTTTCCTCCATTATAGAAGACATGGATTGAACTTCCCTGCCTATTATCTATGGCATGCTAATTACTATTCTGGCTCTGGCTGCAAAAGGTCACATCTATATTTTCCCCTGTACAAACAAACATGGAGCAGGCTCTGTTCACACATACACTACTGTAAACTTTCTAGACCTGACTGCCCAGATCCCTGTGCCTCAATCTCTCCGGGCAGATTGCCTGTAAAGTGTTCTGATTTTGTTCTGTTATCATTTTATATGCAGTTTGCCCAGGTGTAAATTATTAGACGAGATAAAGAATCAGGCTCAGTGTGTCTCCAGGGACTTCCCAGTGTGCAACCCACCCCCGTTAAACAGGAACAGAACCACATGCTTTTGGAGCGTGAAAGTAGGTATTCTGATAGAAGTGCTGACCCATGCTCAGAGCCGTAGGCAAAGTAAGCTGAGACTTTTAACCTGTCCCCTTTGCACTTTGTGCGGCCTCCAGGTTGAGTTGTCTGGTTAGGAAGATGTGTGGTGGGAAGCTGGAGTTAAGAGACTTGTGATAGTCTCCTAGAGGCCCTGCTCATTTCCCAGCAACCAAAATGTTAATAGCCTGTCACCCTTACTCCAGGTGAGAGGGGAATTTGTGCACAAGTACTGGGTGGCATCACATCTTTGGATGAATAAGCACTGACATATAAGCCATCCCCAGGGAACAGGCCCAGGGGTGGAACTGTGTGACTGGTCTGAGTTCAGGAAAAGGATGTTTTCTAAAGGGATGTAGTGAGCAAATATTGAAAAAGGCCAGGCATTATGCTATTTCCAATCAGGAAGAGGTTTTGGAAGGCTTTCAGTGCAAAAGGCGCTTGCAACCCAAGTGTTCCTTGGTTGGATTTTTCCCATCTATGTGGGCAATGTGACACCAAAATAAATCTAATATGAATTTTAAGCTTGGAATCTGGATTTGATTGGTTGAAGAGGTAAAGATATATTTTTTCTTCATAGAGTTCATTCATAAACTGATTATTCCCCTTCTCTCCATATACTGCTAGATTCAGGTAATATGGAAAATGTATGATGTTACCTGTCAAGACTTGAGTTTTTGACTCTGGAGCACATTTACACCCCCCTCCGGAGGGTGTCACAAAGGACTATGGCATGTCTGTTCCATACTCACTAAAACTCCCTTAGGAGGAAACTGGACAAGCACCTGGCTGGGGTCACACGACCCCAGCACTTTTTCCTGCCACTGGCTGGGGGTCAGATTCAGTGATCCTTTGAGGTCCTTTCTGACCCTAGCATCTATGAATCTATGAAAACCCAACATGGCTGTAATATAGCAGGCTTAGGGCAGTAGTGCTTATTGGCGTTCACCCGGTACCATTCCAGGCTAGCTACATTACATACATTTGATGGTTAAATGCACACGGAGGTATGCCAAGCTTCACCACAGTGCAGTCTGGCGACAGGGTAGACCTGGCCTGGAATACTGGACTGACAGATCACTCAGCGAGTTTAATTGAAAGAACTAATGATATGCCTCACTTTGTTTGAACCAGGCGCGACTCATCCTCGAACAGGTAGGAGCGATTCCTACGCATTGCAGGAAATAACTAAAATAAGGTCACAAAAACGGGGTGAGAAATGGAAGTTGGGAAGTAGGAGAGAGCTCTGGATATTGTGGTTCAGCTCCTCATAAATATTCAGGATTGAAAACTGGAATAAGCCTCAGGTCAGTAAAACAGCGAGCTGGAACTTAGTGAAGTCTCTTTATGGGTTTGTGCACAGACCTCCTCATCCCAAAGGAATTCAAAGTGCTTTGTAGCTATTATATGTTGCTGTTGATCTTGCAGTTGCTGTTGCAAATATTGTAGCTCTAGAGAAGCAAGAGGCACAGTTTAGACCCGCACCGGGACTCGGAGGTGTGCAGGGGGACACAGATTTTGAAGCTAATAAAGCTCAAGTGTGTTTGGCTCTGAGCTGATTCCAAACAAGCTGACAAGTAATGAACATTTTCCACAGGGGGGCCCTGTTTCCCAGCACAAGGCTAGACAACCCATCCGCTTTCAAAGCCCTCTTCTTGTCTGTGCCTGGGCAGTAAATACAGCCTCATGTTCTGCCCTCCCCCTTCCTCGTTAAAGCACGGTTATCAGGAGTTCTCATCGTTTGGTACCTTCCCACGCTGCTTCAGAGTTTGTTTAAGGGGAAAAACTCCCAAACTGTGCTGTAGTTTTCTGCTAGACCGTTAAGGAGAAATCAAAATCATGTAAGGCTTGTGCAAACTTTGATCCCTTTCCCCAGGTTTGCCAGGGCTTATGACTGTTTCATTTCCTTCAATCTTTAAAGAGGAAACTGTAGCCTGGAATGACAGAGAATAGAGAGGTTCACAGTAATTTCTCTTGCTGTAATATTTGCTGTGCAAACGTCAGTCTTGGATTGGCCTCGTTTTATAAAGAAGCAGCGGATCCCCAAAGTGGGACCCCTGGTTTCTCTGGTGTGTTGTACCAGTGCAGATAGATTGGATGTGGCCATGACAGGCAAATACCGTCCACAGCAGCTCTGCTGCTTGTATGAAATGACCAATTATGAATGTTGTTCTTGGCATTTCTGTACAGGTAATTTAAATAAAGATGGTTGCAACACTGCCTTTGAAGTTGCGCTACCTGGAATTGTACAATAGGCTTATTGTCATAAAGTTTAAGAAGATGCTGTTTGCTTCCTCATTCTTTAGTTGTACCCAAAGAGTCCCTTTATATTGTGACTGCTGATTAACTGTTACCAGCACCGGCACAGGTTCTGAATGGAAGCCAGTGCTACCAGATCAATGATATTTAATTAAGATATGTGGCTATTTTTGTTCTGCTAAGACTTTGATCTCACACCAGCATAAATCAGCACTGATTCCACTGAAGCTTGTTGATATGAGGGTCTTGTCTACAGGGGCTATGTAACAAAAGCTAAATTAATTTTTAAAGTTGCTTAGTCAAATCACTGCATGGACATTCATATTCAAAATGAACGTGGCCTTCATTCAATTAAGTTTCAGGTGCACAGTGAAGTTCGCTAAATCAAATGAAGGCCACTTAAATTCTGAATGAGAGTGTCCACACAGGACTGAAATGAAGTACAACTAATCCACGTTAACAATTAATTGAGATTAATGTTCTGGACGGTCTGGACAAATGAGCAACTTCTTGTGACTAAAAAGAGTGCGGGGACTTTACCACATTAGGTGCTCTGATGGTAAGAGTCATTTTTACCTCACAGTCAATGAAAGCCAAACCACTGTAGTGTGAAACTTCTATCATTTAGCTTTCACTTACCTTGAAGTCAGTGTGAGTACATGGATCATATATACAAATCCTATAACTTGTTAATTTGCCCATACCTAGGATGGCCTTGGGTAAACAGGCCCAAGCCATTGGAGTAGCATACCCCTGGCAGAGGTGATCGCAGAAACCATCCCCTGCCCCTCCCACACACCACAGATGCAGACATTCCTGAACTTGGGAAATGTGTATATAAAATTCCTGACCTGAACATTGCTGCTTGTTCCCAGGGTCTGACTACTAGAGCTTATTTCTCTTACTACGCATTTGCGCTTCCCTCATCATGGTGGTATCAGGACATCCCTGTGGGTAGTCTGTCAGTAGCATAGTTCAGAAGCTGAGATGAACAGACTAGGACAGGGGTGGGCAACCCCCAGCAATGGGTGCCAGCGTGGCACGCGAAGGCATTTTGCTTGCCACACATGCCTCAGGGAAGGCAGCGTGGAAGGGGCCAGGACTGCGCTATCACAACAAGGATTGGGCCTCTTGCGGCTACCCCGCCATCTGCCGCCGGCACACCGACATCTTATGAGTTGAGGTTGTGGGTATTTTTGGCACTCTGCCCAAAAACATTGTTGAACCCTTGTAACGATAGGGGCCTGAGAGACCCCACAAGCAAACCCCAGAACCCTGAATGGGCTGAGCAAGCCCACAACAAAATAAGAAACCCCCGGAGCAGGAAGCAGCATGCATGGCGCCGCCACTGTAGTTTGAGACCCAGCTCTCAATCAAGCTGGGCAGTGCCAGTCTAATGACATCAGCCCCCAGCACTGCCATGAGAGATTTAAAAGACACCTGGAGTGCCGGGGAAGCAAGGAGAGAGTTTGCCTCTGGGCGAACTACTCCCGAGGAAGAGGCAGGCTTAGGACACACAGGCAGAGAGATGTCAGAGCCACGGGGGCTCAATTCATATAGAGCGGCATAGGCTGTGGGGAATCTGAGGCAAAGGAAACTGAGCCTTGACCCAGCAACTAACCAGCGTTCCTAAGGAGCTGGGAGAGCAGCAGACTGGCTAAGAAGGGTGTTAACCAGAACAGGAGCAACCCTTTTGGGAAGAGGCTCCTCTTTGTTTCTTTCTCTTTTTTTGTTCTTGATTTTCTGGGAAGAAAACATTAGGTTCCGGATACCTGGAGTCCTTCCATCAGGATTTTACTCAAAGGTTAACCCCTAGTGGACCCAGGGTATTTAGCCTAATTGGATAAATCCAGATAGAGCTGTCAGGATTGCCTCTGAAAGAACCTGGAACAGATCGGACTCCAGCAACATAATTCATCAACTCGACACCAATGGCTGGCATGTGGCTGGGGGTGTAGGAGAGGTGGAGCCCCCTTTGTCAACTGCTTCCAGATTTGTGAGTAACCCCAAGTGGGACCTCTGTATTTACACCCACTGAATCCCTCCTATCTAATTTGTTACCATCAGAGTTGTGGCAGGTGAGCTGAGGGGAGGTCCAGCTTGGCGGGGACCCAGAAAAAGTCCAGCCTCAGATAAGTGGGAGCGTTACACCCCTGGACTAGAATACAGTCAGAGTCCAAATACTGTGTCCTGTTCACTGGACCACGTGACCTCTGTCCCGCCATTCCACGCACTACAAGCATCCTTTCCCTTCCTTTATACACAGAAATGTTTGCCAATACACCTTGACTGGCTAAGTGAGTCAGTGCTTTCCTAATCTCAAGCTAATGGCTTTCATTTGGTTGTTTAGAGCACATCCTGACATTTCAAGGAATGATGTAAGCAGCAATGGGCTTAGCGATTTGTTAGCAGAAGGCAGCAATGGAAGGCACTCCAAGTACTGCAGACCTAGCAGCTTATAATTTTCTATGGGGCAAAGAATCAGTAGTGGCAACCATCAAACAACTCCCAAAATAACTGCACCTCCATCCTGGGGAAAGAAAATAAATAGGAACAGTGAAGAGGAAGAGAGAGCAGAGAGGGAATAAGGGAGGCCACATAGAGTCCCTGGCATGGAAGGAAAGTGGAGTGGAGGGACAAGGGCATGAGGCGAAAGAGTGGATAGGAAAGAATGCAGAACAACCGGCGTGGGAGGGAGAAGTGGGGATGATGGCATGAAGCAGCGGGAAGGAAGGGCACACAGAGCCCCTAGCAAAATAGAGGGTTTCAGAGTCTCCAAAACAGAGCAAAATGGAAGGGTGGTAAACAAGCAAGTTGTGGGGGGCAGAGAAATATAAAGAGCCCCTCATGTGGAAGACGGGTTTGGCCCTCAGAACCTATGAAGGGTGAGACTTTGAGTTACCAGGAGGAGCAGGAAGCCCCGAGGCAGTTTTTCACCTATTACCAGCCTGTCTGCAAGACTGGAACTCTTCTGCCATTGCCTGGGAGGACGTAGGGGCCTCATGAGCCTTCCTTTCCTCTTTGGATATCACCCTTGTGGGGTTACATGTCGGTCTCCCACCCCACCTGAGAGTCACCTGTTGCTGCTCCAGACAAGAGCAGAAAGGTACTGCCGGCTGCGGCTGAGATGCCCTCAGCAGAGCTGTGTGTGGGGAAACTTGCAGAGTGATTGCCTGGTTTAATCCCATGTTATCAGCTTTTCTCCTTCAGGAGCCCTAAATTCACTCATAAATTGGAAAGGAATGATTCATTTAGTAGGTGAAAGGGCCAGATTCTTGCTGTTTATTCTCTGCTTTGCTTTTAGAAAGCACGGTTAGAAAGCTGATAGCAAATACCTTAGCTGTTGTCTGTAGCATCTGATGTCAAGGATTTCTAGTGTCACGTCTGTGTGAACAGAATTGAAAATAGTGCCACTGTATCTTTTAGAGTAACTGTATTTTATCAAGCTTGCACCATAAAGTACTCCACTGCCTGGGCAGTGTATGTTGTAATTCATAAATGCTTCTGCAAAAGGAGGAGTATTGACTTCCCCATTGGACTCCGATCAAATTTCAGCCTTTTAGAGCTTTGTGCAACTGCCAGGTGCATTGGAATCCGGATACCAGCTCTTGCAACCTTCCTGTGACATTGGCAGTGCACACTTGACTCTGCTGCATACAGACAGGATCCCCTCCCTGGGAGAGATGGATGGTGCAATCGACAGGTAAGTGCCAGCTGTGTCACCTGTCTAGGGTCTCCTTTAGGGTTGTAAGGAGCTAGTTTGAAGAGCTTTCAGAACGGTTCTGCAGGCCAGATTCTGGCTTCAAAGGCACCCATACAAACCCACTGGCCTTCATACCAAGTGCACTTGGCATTGGCTGTGTTGGCACAAAAGGGTCATAAAGCACCCTCCTGGGGAACCCCCCTGCCATTGGCTGCCCCCACCCTTCAGGACGTTTGCAAGGGATGATGTGTCCATGTTCCCTATGCCCTTGCTACTACAAAGCACAAAGGGACAAAGTCAAAAGGGTCTGGACCAGAGCTGAATTGATCTCCTAGCAGCCACAGGAGAGGGAGGCCCATGCTGTTTTCTTTCAGCCCTTGTGCCAGTATAAGGATCAATGGGGCCTTCAGTCTCAGCATGCTGCCCAAAGTGACATGGGTAAAGCTATCCCAGAGAAGGAACAGGGATGAGCTGCCTCATGGGCCACATGGTAGCTCTGCACAGACCCTGATCTTATTTCTAAAGGAAGCTGACATGATG